ATATCTGTATATGAATATATCATTATTATCAAAGAAATACAGCTATTAGCTTTTTAAAAGTACAAAAGTTCGATAAAAAATTATCAGAATATTCATAAAGCATCAATATATCAATATAAGTATCTGTATATCAATACATATATCGTCTTTTTTTGAAGTACTAATATTCTATTGGAGATAATTCAATTTTATCATTATGCAACACCAATCAAATCGATGCTTTTGTTGAAAGACCCCTTAAGACCCGTTGCACGCGTGGGATCTTAAATTGAGGATGCAATTTTAATGCAACTCTTGAAAGCACTTCTGAAAGTGTATTTTTAATAAGTTATTCTCAATCAGGTGCGGCTGGCACTAAACCCCATTTGAAATTAATAACTTTGATGAAACTTGCAGCACACACAGACACGCATACACACACACACACACATGCACAGGCGCATACATAAGGATATCAGCTAACACACACGCACCCACAAAACAAAAGTTTATAATGGTAGCCAAGAGGTAAAAGGGGTGAGGATGGGCTGGGAAGGGGAGGGGCAAGGCCGGGTGGGTCGGAGTGACTGGCAGAGATTCCAGGTGGGTTAGAGGCGAACGGACCCCGTATAATCCTTTCTGTTGCCGTTATTGTTGTTGTTGTTTCTGTTCCTTTTGCAATGGGATCTGGCTTGCGGCAGCTGCAGTTCCCCCACCCAGATGCTGGGCATGACATCGATATGCAATGGGCCAATGAATATGAGTGTGCATCTGTGTGTGTGTGTGCGTGTGTGTGCAGCCTTTTTGCATATAATACTCTTTTAAAATGCAACAACAACCAACCGAGTGTGTGTGTGTGTGTGTGTATGTGTCTGATCGAATTGGAGAGGCAGTTCAAAAGCGCAAGGAGCTTGGCTGCGGCTTTTAAAGTTTGTTTCGGGCTTTTCGTTTCTTGTTTCTCGTTTCTTGAAATGAAACAAACCAAAATGATACAAGCATGTTTGTGGATGTATGTGTGCATGTATGTGCAGTCTCTGTGTGGATACAGAAACATTTCACACAAGGCTACGCAACTGCATTAAGACGTATCAAATTACATTGAAATTCTCATATTCAAAGTCGTCATTGTTGTTATTGTTGATTGTTGTTGTTGTTGTTGATTTCGTTCCAGTCAAAAGCAAAGTGTCAAAAAGAAGGCAGAGACGTTGCTTGAAAGGGGACAGCTAAATGTAGTTGGCAAAAGTACAGAAAGAAATTGGCGGAATGTGTTGAAACATACTTTGAATTACATATGTGAGATTCGAACTCTTGAATTTAGTTTTTATATTTTATAAGGTTTTCTGTTTTGTTATCTTTAAAATAAAGTTCAGTTGCAACTTGCAAGTGTACTCAATATTGAGAAAAACTTTTCATTTGTACTTGATTGGTGAATTAATAGATGGAATCTGAATAGAATTTTTAAATATTCACTGACTTTGCTTAAGTAACACTGAAACTATTCAAAAAGTGTTTTATAAATTTTCAATATATTTGGTATTTTTGGGTATATTTAAAAAGAGTATATCGGACGATGTTTAGGGTGTGTACCAGTTGTTACCAAAATCCGAATATGACTGAAATGAATTGACTCTCAGGAACATCACTGGTTCGCTTGCCAACAATCTTGATTGTCAATTGATAATATTTTATAATATTTAATTAATAGATCCGGGAACTTGAAAGTAAAGATTCTTTGAAAATCTAGAAGCTGCAGACAATTTCCTAGTAATATTTGAGCCCCTTTCCAGCTACGCCACTGCATTCGAAGGCAGGGCGAGAACATTTTTGGTGCTTCTGAGGAATGCTAAATTACTCATACGACATGTGGCCAGTGCTGACATGACCGCTGACAGCTCGAATGCGACAAGAACAACATGCAGCTTGTGGGCGTGGCAGCCGACTGACATTTGTATTTTTATAAGTATTTCTTTTGTTATTGTTTTCGCTTCTTTTCTTTTGCAAATCTTGCGCAAAGCGTTTATTGTGTAAATTATTAATGGCGAATCGAATGAATCACTGTGAGGTGTGAAATCTATGCCAATGTCTCTTGACGGCTAACTTCGTTCACTGGCTGCAGCTTGGCTTTTGTCATGCGACACCGAGATGCATTGGACCCACGTGGCCCACTGTACCCGCTGCACAGTGGACAGTGAGCAGTGGACATTAACTCACGCAAAAAGATGCCCAATCAGATGCCGGCAGAAGCGCTCACACGCTCGCTTGACTCAGGCAGCAGCTTTGGGCCAAGCTTGTTGTTGTTGTTGTTGCTGTCTGTAGGGTATTAACAATTCGCACGATACAAATCTTGTGACTGCGCTGCAAGGCGTATCGATTACACGCCTCAGGTGCGACCTCATCGCTCTGTGCGTGTGGAGCGGGGCTAGGGCAGGAGCTATCAGGCGACAGGGGTAGGGGTAGGGAAGAAGGGGTAGGGGCAGGCTGGGAGACGCACGCCCAGCTCAAGTTCAGCTCAGTCGCAGTCACAGTTACTCGCAAAGCCAAGTCCAACTGCGCGGTAATTGGAGGCGCATTGCTGTTAGCTCTTAGCATATTATTTCCACCTTTTGATACCTCTCTCTCTCGCTCTCGCTCTCTCTATTATAATCTCTCTCTTTCGCGTTCTCTCTGCCCCTCCTATGTCTTTTTCTGTGGGTTTTTAATATCATTTGACTGTTAATTTATGTTTGGTTTTTAATTTCTGATTTGTGCGTTCGCCTGTGCACTGTTGGCTGGGGGAGTGGGGATGCGGGTAGCGGGCGGCATTACGGCCAGAGACGAGAGAAAAGGCGTGGCACAAGCAGAGGGGGAGGGGGTGGTCTACAGGCAGCCTCCAGCTACGACGACGACGACGACATTTAAACTTGTGCTCAGTGCAAGCGCTGAAATTCTAAACCGAAATGCGAATAAAAATCAATTAATTAAAAAATGAAATTGTATGCCCTTTAGTATTGTTGCTATTGTTGCTGTTGTCGCTGTATTTGTTGCCCTGGAGCTTTATCTGTCTGTTTGCTATTCACTTGCCTCTCGCCACATTTCCCCTTTTTCTTGAATTTTCATAATTAATGCTGAAAGAATCTGCCAGATACAGTTGGCAATTGCAATGCTATCTCCCTCTCACTCTCTCCATCATTCCCGCTCCCTCTCCCACTCGCCTCCTGTCGCTGTCTCACTGTCTGTTGAATTTCGCAAAATCTCAACTTACAAAAACATATCAAATTTTCGTTTTTATTATGAATCGCGAATGAACTGGAGCTGACTTGACGAGTGTTTTTTTATTTTCTCTTCCTTTTGTTGTTGTATTTCTTCTTTTTTTTTGAATCCAGATCCAAGTAGCAATTCCCGTTGTCGAAGCTATTGTCTACACTGAGAGAAAAGGTTGATATTGAATTTGATGCTGTTACGAAAAGTGCATAGCCAGTCAAACAAAAATTTATTTGGAAGCTCTTTGAGTCAACCATAAATCAATCATCTATCAACGAAACACAAATCAATCGTTAATTTTATTAACATATACATAAAAATGGCATTAAATTATAGTCAGTCCCTCATCAATTAATAAAAAAGTTGCAGCAAGACATTATAAAATAAACCATCAATCAATCATGTAGATCAATCATGTAGAATAATTAAATTAAATAAATGTCCAGTCAATCATAATCATAATTTATAGGTCATTAATCAATCAATCATCAATCACAAATAAACTACCAATCAATCAGTAATAAATCAATAATTAATCAAAACAATCATTCATCAATCAAACTCTTGGATAAATCACAGCAGTATTGTAATCATTGAATGACTCAATCGATTGGGAACTTCGTATTTGATTTATGGTTAGTCATATATATTTTATCAATCATAAATCAATCAGTTATTCACAAATCATCAATCACGTGAAGAAGTTCTAAGTCTTATAGAAACTCCTTAAGCACTCGAATGTAAGAAATAACTCCTGCTGCATATATAGCATAGATTTAGCCACAGCCAGTGCACGGGGCTTGGGGCCTGGAGCTCGAGGCTTGGGGTCTGTGTGTCATGCGAGTCGGCCACATTAATACGTGTCTACGGTTACTCAAAAAGAAACCTAATAGAATAATGTAAAGTATACTCTGGCAATGGCTAACGACGGAGACGATGGGCAACCCAATACGCTTATAATAACTCACCCTGAACCCCGTAAACTGAACTCGGCTCAGCTTAGCTCAACTGAGCTACTGCTGCTGCTGCTGCTGCTTCTGCTGCTGTTGCTGTTGCTACTGCTGCTAGAGCGAACTAAACCAAGCTGCACTGAAGAAGAGGATGGAGACGGAGGCGTTGCTGGGGCCGCACCACCAGCAGCGCCACCAACAGCACCACCCCAAAAATAGCAGCAATAACAACAACAAATTCTAGAATTACGCTAGTTTTCTCAACGTTAAGACACATGCATGACTGTGAGTGTATACGCGTATGTGTATGTGCATGTGTATGCGCATGTGTTTGTGCATGTGTGTGTGTTATGCACAAAGTCAGTCGGTTTTTAGTTTGTTGTAATCGAATATCGATAGCTCGGGATTGAATGACGCGCGTCCTTCTTTTGAATTCTTACATGACATACTTGGGAGCTAGCTATCTCTCTTTCTCCTTCTCTATCGTTGTTGTCTTTGTTTCTGTCTCCCTCTCTTTGTATCTGTGTGAATTTTCAGTTTTCCTCATATGTTCTTGTTGTTGCTGTTTCGCAACTCAATATTTTATTTCATTTTAATGTGTGTACATCAGATATGGGTTGGCTCTATATGGATCTGAATGACACACATACATAGATACTTCCATACATACATACATGTATACTCTATTACAATGACCTTTATGCTGCAGAGAAGATTGACTGTTAGCACAGCTATTTATTTTATAACACTTTATTTCTTGGGTATTTTTCTGACATTAATAATAATAATTAATAATAAACAATAGCTAAATTAGCATTTTACTATACTTTATATACTTATAGCTGCTTTAAAAACCTTCTACGTCCTGGACTTGCCAAGTGGAGACTGATATAGGCACTGGAACTCAAACTAATTTATTATTATTATTATTTTTTTTTTTAACAATAAATATTTCTTTAGTTATTATTTTTAGTTCATTAATACAAATTTAGAATAATTTTCCTTTTCTTTTTTATTTTTTTTTTGATATATGTAGATATGTTTAATATTTATTTAGTCATAGCCGTGACAGATTTAGCTGATATTTCCCTGTTGAGAGTTCGCTCCACTCTTCGGCCTCTTCCATCTCGAATTCTACACTCTGTCTTACCCATTGCTTTGTGCATTTCTATACTCACTCAACACAAAAGAGCCACTCATTGCACTTGATGTCAGAGGAAACGGCAGCGCAGCGGCAGCTGCTGCTGTTCAACTCGAGCGCCATCTGGCGTATGGCAGAGTCAACAGAAGTCGCAGCAGGTCGCAGCGTGACCCAGCACTACTCGTCCTCCGCCTCCTGCCCGCTCCTGTACTATCCCCGCATAATGTCGCCCACTGAGTATCTCAAATTAATTTAACGTTATTTTAATTTGAGCTGCTACCATTTCGCTCTAACTAACGTGGCACAAGAGCGCCACCTGTGAAGTAGGGGCTATCTGACTGATGCTGCTGCCTCCACAGGGTGCCTCACGTTACGCTCGCCCTCCAGCACCCGCTATGCGTGTGTGTGTTGGCAACTGCATTTGCTGGTGTTTTCGTCTAGAATTTATCATATTCTATTTTGTTTGTAATACAATATGAGACGCTGTTATTAAAGTTCTGCTGCTGCCGTGTCATTTGAGCTCTGCCTGCGCCTAACCCCACCCGCACACACACGAACTCCACCCCGCCACCCCCTTGCTGCTGATGCTTATCAATAGAGGAGAGGACTTTGAGTGGCTGCTAGGCCAGCGTTGTCATTGTGCTTGTAACCTAATACCCTGCCCCACAGAAGGCTATACGTATAACTCGGATATGAATGTGCGTGGGCAAGTGTAAGTAAATAGTTGAAGAACCTTGGGGCTTACCTTAACTGGATACCTCTGCATGATATAGAAATATACTATGCTATACCTATAATCGACAGATATTTAAAAGAGCTGGAGAGCCTAAATCAAATAAACATATTTCGATATATACAATGAGAAAATTTCAATTAACTAAATCAGCTTTTAAAGTAGTTTATCATTTTATTCAAAATGAACTGGCTCACGAAGGAAGTGGTTTCCAAAATAAGAGAGACCAGCCCTTAATAGAAAAATCTGTTGGGAGCTTAAGAAATATTTAACTGGTTCATCTTATTAATAATAAACTGATTCATTAAATTAATAATTAATCTTTTTTAATTTATTCAACATTTATTAAGTGTCCAGATTTTTAATCTAATCTAAATTCTGTATGCTGTTAGGATCTGTATATCTATGTGTTACATTTAGACTTTTTCTTTGACTTTTAATTTTTTTATTTACATAGTTAGATAACTTTCTTGAATACTGATATTAGAAAACAAATTTCAAATTTAATAAATGTTCCCTAATTCCAAATCTCAAAGATTTACTCAAAGTTTAAAAAAGATCTGGATAATATTAATATTCAAAATTAGTTTGAAATATTTTACTCAAATTCCATTGAAGAAGAGAAAGGTCCCTCTCATATTCAACTCTATTTGATGGTATCTCCATAAATAACTTAAAGTACTAGTTCTTTACGTCAAGTTCGCATGAGGGTCAAATGTGTGTTCTGCGTCTAGTTGAGCAACAGTTATGGTTGTCAATACCGATTACTACGCCCATTGGCCGTTATTAATATATTACTACCTCAACATTAGCCTTTCGGCTGAAATGCGCGAAAATTGTCAATACGCGAGGGTAGTCATTGAAGTTCATATTTACATGGTGAAGAGCTCACCCAGTGTGAATTTATTTATACCATTTTATAAATTATACCATCGTATAAATAAATAAATATATCGCTTAAAGCGATGTCTTGGTTGGTCCCCATACAAACTTATATGAAAGAGCCTCCACTTAGTACGACAATAACGCTTATACCGACAATATTTTTCAATCAAATGAAGACAAAACATTTAAGCATAATAAGCCTCTGCTAGAAATGGATATATGTATGTATTTATCAGTGATCAGTACTCTTTCTGGCGTGCGTAGCAGCGACAGAAATGCTGCTAAGACAGAGAGAAGCAAACTGCATACGTCATACAAATGTGTTTCTATACTATGTTAATGAAGCAATTTATACATTTTTTTTTGTTTTGATTAAAAAATCAAATGTTTTTATGTTGAAACCCATTACGAAAATGGCAACCGTAAAAAAACGAAAAAAAAATATTTGTGTGCCCCTTCTGGTTTAGGCGTCCTTCGGGTATAGCAACGTCGTTATAACCGGACTCCACTGTATTTTATATATTTATTTATACAATGGACCCTCGGTTAAGGATCGCCTCGGATAACGAACATTTCGTATAACCAACTTGTTATTAATGCTTGGCATAACGACGAACAACAAATTTGAAAAATTCCCTTCTGTGCTAAACAACGAAATAGTGCAGATTCCCACTTTTAGAAACTGTTATTATTAAATAAGAGTTGGAATAATTAAAACTGTGATTCTGATTAAATTTATTAACTGCATTATACAATATTCACTTTTTGAAACAACGGAAAAAGATTACTAATTTTTTTTTTATTAAATCCTTTTCATGTTGTATCGAGTTGTAAATTACTTATAATTTTTATACGATCATTGTGGAACTGATCGGACTACTAATTATTTATCTACGAAGCTCCAGTATTTCTAGATTAACTCCAATTTCCTTTTTAAATTCTGTTCCACTTAGACTAGACAGTGCAGTTTATGAACTGTGTTGTAATTGGACATAGATACATAAATACATATCTGACACTGTATAGTGCCCTAAAAAGCTTTGGCTTTGTAAGTATATCTATGGAACTTTGAACAACTTTAGCAGCACCCCACGTGGGTATTTGTTAAGGGTGTTCCTTTTCGCATATCCTTTCGAGACATTGGGCTCGGCGCGAATGAGTTCGGTTCGGTTCAGTTCGGTTTGGCTTGGAGCGGCGACGAGTCGCTGTCATAAAGCGGAAACCTTGAAGCGTATCGTCTTACTACAGTCCTATCCAATTGCACCCATGAGACGCGTTAATGCTGCTCTTGTTGTTGTCATTGCTTGGTTTTAATTATGTTGTCTGTTATGTTCGCTTTTCACTCTCCATTAAATTTGTGCCGCTCTCTTTGCAGCGAATGCAGCTCATAATTATGCCACGGCCATTGAGCCCGGCTAAAAGAAAAACTCCGTTCGATTTTCACACTTAAGTTCATTTTCTATCAGATCGAAAGTGTTGCATACTTCTTGGACCGCCAATTGGTAGATGTTAAAGGGTCCATCGCAGTATGTGTCATTACTTATCTTCACTTATCTTCTCAATAATTAGTATAGCCAATTCAGCAATCAAGCAAATTATATAGTATTTTTGGTACTGTTCAAAAACCTTTCTTGGACTAGCAATGGATAGCAGCATAAAGAGTAAAATTAAGAAACAAGGATACACTTTAAATATTTGTGAATGTTTACGTAATAAGATTTGGGTATTTCGAATTTTATTTTAGCGAAGTACGTTAATTCCTTGAATCTATCGATTTCGATACCAACTGAAGCAAAGTTGCCGACTTATAAGTGATGAGATGAGCAGAGCCAATCGGGCTCCAATCGAAGCGTAGCCAGAGAGAGCCACACTAAAATATGAAAAACAAAAAGTACCCAAAATACAAAAAAAAAAAAAAAACAAGTAAAAAAGCTCTAGTCGAGACTGCTCGACTACGAGATCCCCTGAACCCTTGGAGCAATAGATATTTCAATAATTTTTCGCGTCATTCAGCTTACATAAGAAACACGACACGAACTGCGAACTGCGAACTGCGACACACATACACTCACACATGCATACACACACAAACGCACACACAGGCACACATACACACACACGCATACAGACACACATACACACACACATACACACACACATACACAAACACATACACACACAAGCACCCACGCATAAACACGCATGGGCTGCAGTGTGCGCTTACTATGAGAACTTAATTGTTTAATAACTTTTTTTATGGACGTACGATCTTCATGAAACTTTCAGATTATGATTATAACATGAATATACATGTAATTGCCAAAGCACAAGTCTCTAGTATTTGAAATACGCTTTTTACAAAAGTGAGGGTGAGGGGGTGAATTTAGAGGTGGGGGGTAAATTTTAACAAANGACGGACAGACGGACAGACGGACAGACAGACGGACAGGGCCAAATCAACTCAGCTCGTCGCCCTGATCAAGAATATATATACTTTGTGGGGTCTGCCACGCCTCCTTCTGCCTGTTACATACATTTCAACAAAACCATTATACCCTGATTTCCCATTGAAAATGGGTTCAGGGTATAAAAAAAAAAAATACAAACCTGAACTCAATCCCAACGCAGCTCCATTCATTATAATAATTTTTCTGTTTAATAATATCATTGCGCTCAACTGCAAGCCAGCGGCTACAATTTCAATTTACCGATCCGATTACACGTGCAACAACAACAGCAAAGACAACAACAGCTACAACAAGTAAGAAAGCTCCAGTCGAGACTGCTCGACTAGGAGATACCCTGAACCCTCCAAGCTGATATTCTAAACATTCTGCACTTCTTTTATGCACACATACATACACATGCATCCACACGCACGCATAAGCCTGCGCTCTGCTAACTGCGCAGTAAGCAGCGACTGCGCTTGGGCTGCGCTGCAGTGTGGGCAATATTATGAGAATTTATTTGTTNTAATTACGGACATTTTAAAAAAAATTTGAAGTCTCTAGCTCTTATATCTTCTGAAATCGACGCGTTCATACATACGGACGGACGGACGGACGGACGGGCGGACGGACGGACGGACGGACGGACGGACGGACGGACGGACGGACGGACGGACGGACGGACGGACGGACAGACAGACGGACAGGGCCAAATCAACTCAGCTCGTCGCCCTGATCAAGAATATATATACTTTGTGGGGTCTGCCACGCCTCCTTCTGCCTGTTACATACTTTTAACAAAACCATTATACCCTGATTTCCCATTTTCAATGGGTTCAGGGTATAAAAATGTTGATGCGGCCGCCGTCAACGTAGCTGCTGCTGCTGCTGCTGCTGCTGCTGTTATTGTTGTTGTTGTTGTTGGTGTTGCTGCTGTTTGTCATTCGCGCGGGTCTCTGGCATTAAATTAATTTTGCTCATTTGGCGAAAAACTTACACACACACACACACACACACACATTGAGAGTGATAGAGAATGTTGGTAGAACGAGAAGAAGGAGAAGGAGAACGAGGTAGAGGTAGAGCGAGGGGCCGGAGTAGCCCAGCGAGCTAGCACAGGCCAAAGAGGTAAGAAGAGACACTGAGACTCAATGCGAGTCGAGGCAGGCAGTCTGCGTCTATTTGCAGCCCACTCGCACACACACACACACACGCACAGACAGACTGACTGAGTGTGGCACTCGTTCACTCACTCGTTAAAATGATTATAAAAATTTATCAATATAAAATTACCAGCGCTGCCTCGGTTTACAGTTAACTCGCACAATGTTGGGGTAATCGTAATTGCAAGACGTCTACGCTTACGGCGACGGCGACGGCGACGGCGACTGCGACGTCAACGCTAGCTGTGCAGGGGATGCCAACTCCGTTTACAACTGCGCTGCGGTGTAACGCTAATTGCAGAGCCGAGGGAGGCTCTAAACGCAACAGAACAGTTATTCTGCAATTTTTGTTATCGCAATGTAAGCCGAGTCGCAAGCTCCAACTGAATGCAGTGGCGTGCAGTGCAGGGAAGGGGGGTCTTCATCTTCGTTAGAGAGAACATTTCATTGCAGTTGCATATTTGAAATTTCGAAATGCTCGCCGCATGCAAAATTGAAATTGAAACTGAACTGAGCTGAATCCGCTTCATCTTGTTGCTGTTAAGGATTCGGATTATTGGGTTTTCAGGCGCATTATTTTTGTGAAAAATTGCTCGGTCGGATCCGGCTGAAACTGTTCTCATGACTTCTCTCGTAATTGGAAACTCATGATGAACTCTTATTTGTTTGGCATCGTATTCAGGAATTGCATCGTGCAATTTCAAAGGTGGAAAATATATTTCTCTAGCCATATAAATAGATTTATGACTAATGCGCAAACGAAATACGCTTTTCCAATAACCGTTTGAATGACATGCAAAGGAAAAGCGATTCATCAGTGATGACCTTTATGTGACCGGGCTGAAGAGTCCTCAATACCCAATTGTTCCAAGCTGTAGATGGCCTAGACATCTACGACTTATTCGAAAAGAAGTCTTTAATGAAGATTTTTAAAAGGATAACTATTATGTATTTTTAAAATCGTTGGAAAAAATAAAAATAGTTAAATAATATTTCCTAAATAGCCCCCCTATTGATCGTATTGAAAAGCTGTATAAGATGGACTATAGTCTAGATAGGTGAAATAGTGGATGGAGAAACAAATATACAAACGGACGGACGGGCGAAGAGTCTAACGGACAGACGATCGAAATAAGATAGCACGAGTAAAAACAGTAATATTGGACCTGAAAGAGGTCTGGAACTGGAACTGGAACAAGGAAGTACTGGTACTGAAACTACAGCAGTTCACTAATAAACGACACTTGTAATGCATTATTAAAAAAAGATTCGCAAAGACTGCGTGCTATTCACCCCGTTGGAATGGCATCGATAAACATTCCGAAAATAGACATAACCAACCGCAATATTTCAACTGCAGTAAAAAATACTCAAAATAAAATGAACATTTGAATAAAAAACATCCTATTATTGTATGAACACCTATCATACAAGAATGTATACTTCGCAGTTTGCTCTATGTTAAGTTGTGAACATTTTCACGAAATTCTCAATTATTTTTGCGTCTTTTTAGATTTTTGTTGTTGTCTTTGCATCCTTGTTATTGAATACTATTTAAAAACAACGTGCAGACAGAAGTAATTAATTATAAATGTGTTTGTTTTGTGCCAAAAATTCAGGTGACAATTACGCGAAATTTACTCGAATAAGTATATATGTATATATGTATGTATATGTATGTAAATATATATTTATATATTTATGTATTGAATTTATGTATGTATATATATTTATGTATGTTTATGTGTGTGTATGTGTGTGTTTGTACGTGGGCTTGTTGATTTCATTCATGAGACTCACCTTTATCTCATCACTGGGCAGCTCTTTCTTGATTTGAACAACGCCGCCTGCCCCAGTTGGGGGCACGACGCTGGTTGCAGCTGCCACATTGCCGTCACGCGAATTCGATGGTGAAGTTTTGGCCGACATTGCTAGCGGGACTCAATTCAATTCCACTTTGTTTTAGCCGATTTCAAACGGGCAACAGGCAACTGAAACGCGAAAAATTACGAGGCGAAAAGCACAATTAATTGAAATTATTTCTTGAAGATTTTTTAATTACACTGGAGTTTTCTTGAATATATATCATAAAAATCTAACTTGTTGCTTGATTCTCGAACTTGTAAGCTTGATTCTCGAACGAAATATCTGCTGAACTCTTATCGCTTGTTTTAAATAGGGAAAGATTCCAATTGATAATAAAGGATTCACAATCATTTATTTTCTGATTACAAGTTTAGGGTTTCCATTCAAACTGATTATATAACTTGTTATTGAAAATGCTACTCCATCAACCTTGAATTACCTTGAATATTGATCAATCAATTTCAAAGTTATTTAGTTCTCTAAAAGTTTACAATTTCTTCGAATTTCAATTATTTTTTTCGTTTTTCTAATGTCACGAAATTCCTGCCCCTGGTTGAGATCACACAGATATTTATTTTCTTCTCGTTTGTAAAGCTAACGATCAATCATGGCACACATTATGAGCCAAACACGCCCACTTCTATACCGCCCCATAATCCGTTTTCTTTTTCTGCTTCTGCTGCTTCTTTTTCTTCTTCTTTGTCTTCGTTTTGGGTCCATAATTAATTACAGCGTCTTCTTAATTTTCACTGAGCGCCTTCGATACGAGTCTCACTAGGTGTGTGTGTGTGTACATGTGTGTGTGAGTTTGTTTGTGTCTATGCTTTGCATATTGTTTCGCATCCATTTGATACGCACGCAAGCAGACGGCGGCAGAGTATTTATATACCCGAACATGTATCTGTAGCCGTGCACACATACACGCGTAGCTGTATTTGCGCGCGTGTATGTGTGAGTGTGCGTGTGTGTGTGTGTGAGCGTGTTTGGTTCGCGCGCACTTTGGTGTCTTGTAATTTAATACCTCATACGAAACGTTACCACCTATCGCATAACACAGCACGCATACACACACAGACTAACACACACACACAGTGTAACACACACACACACTGGTATCTTATTCAAAAATATAATTTACAATAACAAATGCCCAACAAGAGCCAAGTGGATTTTGCCACACATACATACACACATATATTAACAATAAGAGGTAAATACATTTTGAGCGCGAACTTCCTCGAGAACTTTGAATGGAAATCAAGAAGAGTTCCCAAATATATGGGAATATATGGATATTTGGCATTATCTATAGCTATAGCGGTTCTTTTTTGTGTGCCCTATATAGCTTGTAAACGATAAACTTTCAGCAGACTATAATTAATATCTGATCTATACACATCTGCCTCAGCATAATATATCATTTTGGATTAATTTCGAAATGTTCTCACTAAATGCGTTTTTTATTTGCTTTTTACACCTTTGTTTATTAATTCTCATAGGGGCTGCTGTCTTCTATATATGTATGTACGTATATGCAGATACGCTTTAATGTGCTTTTCTTTGTTGATCTTTATCTCTTCTCTCTCACTGAAACAGTTCATTTATTCGCTTTGTTAGCTTTCGCAGATAAAACAGATTTTTTGTTTCATTTTTATTTCCTATTTTTCGAAAAGTATTTCAATTTCAAGGATAATTTTGATGCATCAAAACGTACTCAAATTGATTTCGCTTAAGTATACATATATTTTGGTTATTCACTTTAGAAAATATACATATATGCATATGTATATATTTTCCAATGCAGCGCGCCTGTCCAATATATGTTCCGAAATAGCTTTATATTTTCGACATTATGTATATATTTTGTATGCGGCTGTTTCTCACTCACAATTGCCTTTCTTTTTCCTTTTCGTATTTTTTAATTTATTTATATTTCTCTTTTTTGATTTGATTTTCCGCTTTTCAACAAACACCGCAACCGAACGTCAAGGAAAACCATGCCCAATGCTCATTTTCATTTTCACTTTTCACATGCACACCGCGGCACGAATACGATTTTCCGAAGACTCTTCTGACTGCGTTGATGGCTTGTTTCAGAAACGTTTTTCAGATTCTTCACGATTCTTTCTCTCGCTCGTTTCGCCTTTTCGGTTCTTTTTCAATCATTCGCTCCGAGCGACGTCCGCATGCGGCCGCGTTTCATCAACGTTTGACGCTGGCGGCCAGTGCCATGTGGATTTTACTTAGCCGCTGTTGGCTGCGCCGCACAGTGGTGCAGCAACCACAATTACGCTGTGAAAATATTGCAATGCGATTTTATGCTATGCAGAATAAATTGAAAATAATATTAAGCTTGTAATATAATTAATTTAGTGCAATATAAATTATATTACCAGTATTAATTAATGATTTTAATAATAATAATTTATAATATATATTCGTATAAATATCTTATAAATATATGTTTCATTACATACATACAAGACAAAATTATAATATTAACATTATGATTTTAAACATTTTATATAACATAATCTATCAAATCACCGAACTTCAAATGTTCGTTTAAATTTACCATTCGGCATAAAACAAATGTAGCCGTTTAACTAAATATATAACTTAGAACGATTGAAATAAAATTTACATATGGAAATTGAATTAAAATAATTTTCGGCTTACTAATACAAATACTTTATATGTTGAATATTTATCAAATGATAAATAAATTTAAAGTATAAATTCTACAAATAATTTTGGACTATTTCAATTGAAGTTGCAGAAAATTTGTGATTGAGCAGCTGCAGAGTCATTTGGTATTTTCATACATTCATAATTGATTATTGAAAGCTTATTTTACTTTTTGTGTGTTGTTCATATAGTTTCATAGAGTTTTTCCCCGTTTGCTTTCACTGTGCAGCTGCTGCTTGCGCTCTGCTTCGTGTTGTGGCCTCTGATGCGATTGCGCGCAGCTGTGGGTCCCCCACAGGCGACGACGACTCCCCAGTTCGAGTGGCTGTTGTTGATGACGTATTGAATGTAGAGCGTCCCCAAGCGCCCAAGGGCCCTCTCCCCTCCTCTAGGCCCACACTATCATTCCACATAGCTGCTGACTCTGATGAGTCAAAGTAATGCTAGGAAGAATTTTCCGTCTCRTGAAAACGAAAACGAAAACGAAATAGTCTCAGTTTATTTCACTCTTTCTCTTTCGATGCATCCGTATCTCTCGCTGCTATTCGTCTCTCTGTCTTTTGCCATCTCTCAGAGCTGTAGTGGATGCAACTTAGAGCGAGTTAAAAATAAATTGCATCGTGTGGCTGCTTACCTGCTCGATTCGGATATATCTTTATATATATATATGTACAACTGTTTAAATATTTATATATATTTTGATTTTGTTCGTTTTAGAAAATTTATTATTGTGTTATGTCTAATTTGATTTAATTTATTTGCAAATTTCTTCTAGCTGCACTGACATAAACGCACTTGAAACAGCTAATTTCAAATTCAAAATTAATGTGAAGAAATTCAAGTAATTCGAAAAATCTCTTTGAGCTAAACAGATCAAGCTGTCATAGATTATAGAAATTAGAAGATAAAAAGCCATTTCAGACTTGTGCAAAGTTCATATTTGTTTAGATGATTCATTATCAAAATTGTAGAACACTCCGAGCCTCACAGAGATGGCTCAACAGTTAAGATCTAGCTGCCAATATTGGTAACGGGACAGGTTGATGGCAATGTAAAGCATGAAAACAGCTGCCAATCGTGCCCTGCGGCGATTGTCAACAATAATGCATTAAGTAGGCAGCTCGTAACAACTACATGTCGTACACACACACATACATACATACATATATTTAGATATATAAAGTGGTGCCAGTCGTCGGCGCCCTTTAAGTTATGGTACCTGGAACTGGCGCAAGAACAGAACATAAATTGGCCAAGACAGTCCACTTGGCTGTGGCTAACTTGGCTGTCTGTCGTCTGTTCTTGGGCATGCTGCATGCATCACCATCCGCTCTATGAAAAACAAAAGAAATAACTAAATGACTTGTTCGAATGGTACATCACTATAATCAACAGCAGCAACAACAGCAGAGATCATGAGCATAAAAATAATTCAAAGCAGCTGCCGTGTCAATCATAATGGGCGCGCAATGAACAAACAATGCAACAGAAGATAAATTAAGCATTTCAACAATTTATTTGATTAAATACATGCATACATATTTACTTGCATGTATGTACGTATCCTTAAATATGACATGTACACTTTCGATCCATGTGCCAAATTGAATCCTCATTTTATGTGTTCTATGCATAAATGCTGACTAACGCATTTTGTGACAGCCGTTGAAAAATGCATTTAAGTATTTGATTGTTTTTTGTTTTTTTTTCAGTCTATGTCAATGAAATTATAAATACAAAATGTTTTTGCTGTTTCTTTTCTTTTTTGCTTTGTTTTTCGAATTCTATTTTGGTTCGGTTAATCATTTTCGCATAGAACAAGCATGCGCTGTTTAATGAGAACAGTTTATGTTGGCATTTAGTCAAGATCGATTCATGTGACTCCGTGGCGCAACGGTAGCGCGTCTGACTCCAGATCAGAAGGTTGCGTGTTCAAATCACGTCGGGGTCAACTGTGAGCCAAACTTTTTAATTTTTTTTTTTTTTTCAATTTTAAATCCATATATTTTTTTAATCCATATTATTTTGAGTGCCTTATAATAGTTAAATTAACTTAAATTAACATAATTAAAAATTAAAGCACTACAAATTAAAGCAAACGTGTGTTAATTTGTTAAAAGAATAAAATAATCACATTATTAAATTTATACATTGTGTAACTTTGCATATTTTATTAATCTGAATACGTATGTATGTATGTGCATATTGCATATTTTCTGCCAACACACATTTCGTTTCTGCTTTGTGCAGCCAAACTCTTAAATGTTGCGAGAGCGCATGCTCTTAAACTCAAAGAGAATCAGCTGTGGGTAGAACTGGAAACAGCTGTTCGCATCAGCTGTTTCAAGTGCACGCGAATAGCAGAAACGTAATCAAAAACTGAAAAGTGAGAAGGAATAAATTATAAAAGTTTTCAAATATAAAATAAGTAAACACATATAAAATGATAAAATGTCAAAACTGCCAAAAGCAGCCCTTAGCTTAAAACAGGTAAGTGACGGATGGCACCTGTATTTTAGCCTTTTCAAATTTCTCATTCACCCAGTTCATGCTGCGCCAGGAGGTGCTGAAGCTGTACAGAGAAATTTGGCGCACCACACGGCTGGTGCCGGACCAGCATAGCCGACAAGAGCTCAGAGCCTGGGCCCGCCACGACTTCCAGGCGAATCGCAACCAGAGCGACGAGGTGGCGATCAAAATGCTGATGCAGAGCGCCAGACGCAGCCTGACGGAGCTGCAGACCAGCCTCCAACTGAGCGGCACGAACGTTAAGTGAGAAAAATGCTTGCATCTTTTATTTGAGCTTCACAAACTTGACTGCTGCAATCGAATTACAGAGACATAAAACACGATAATAAATAAATAAAGCTAAAGAGAAAGACCTTTGAGGCGCTACAGCAAAGTCTGTGTCTGTTTCCGTGGCTGTGTAGAGAAAAGCAGTCTAGCAGTTTGGTAGATGTTAACTAGGATGAGTGAGGACTGAACCGAGCGATTTACAGCAGCGGGCGCAGCAGACTCAGCCAGGCGACCTTCAGCAGAGCCAGTCCGAAAAGCAGGGAGCCGACGCTGGTGATGATAAGCGAGATGAGATCCCGTTTGGCGTGCTCCTCGACTCGCCCCACCAGAAAGCTGTGTATCACGGTGCTGGTTATGTGAGCGCCGTCGAAGCCAAAGCAGGGAATGGCATTGATCAAGGCGAGTCCAATGCTGAAAACCACATTGTACCTCAGCAGCAGCGAAAGGGCATCGGGCCAAGCGGAACTGATCTGTTTATAGCGGGGCACAAAGGCCGAAACGCGCACCGACCGCAACACATCACGTGGCTGGCCCACATACATCACGGGTGGCAGTGCCTCGTGGTCCAGACTCTGCCTCTTAAACACCAGAATCCTCGTTGTATTGTGCAGCATGGGCCGCAGACAGTATCCCTGGGCACACGACCCTGCTCTGCAATAGCCGCTCGAGTCCTCCAGCGTGCGCCGCATGGGCAGGCACACGTGCTGCGGTATCTCAGCGGGCGCATCCACAGTGGCGTCCTCGATGTACTCGAAGCAGCTGACATTGGGATTGCGCTCGTCACAGCACTGCAGCCGGCCCTCCGCATTGTGATGGGCTATGTCGATGCTCTCGTCATTGAGCCGTATGAAGTCGGAGCTAATGCAGTAGCCCAGGCGCTGCTGCTGCGCCTGCTGCAGGCAACCCAGCCAGCTGTCCTCGTTGCTGACGGGGCAGTCGTTCAGCTGAGTGATCACGTTCTGCACCTGCAGGCCGCGATCGCCCCGCAGAGGCGATTTGGTCGTCAGCTCTGTGACTATCACGTGCTCGTTGTATTGGTAGAAGGGCGACATGATCATGCCCAGCGTCGAGATGAACAGATAGCAGACGCAGGCGAACACAAAGTTGTTCCAAATGCCGGCGCAAAGGATGCGCAGCTTGCGAAACCAGCGCAAGCTGTTCAGATGATCATGCGAGAGCTCCGTATAGGCCAGCGGCAGGCAAAAGTAGATCTGCGAACATGCAAATGTTATTTAACAACTTTTTGGATTCCTCCTTATCTCACCCTGAAGCCGAAGCCCGTAACTGGCACGTCCTCCAGCACGGCGGCGAACGCATGGCCCATTTCGTGAAGCAGTGTGCAGAGCACCAATGTGGCTATATAATAGCCGATCTCTTGAAGTGGCAGATTGACTCCGGGCAATAGAATTTCCAGCTGGACCGTCGCCGTGGCGACTGTTGATGTGGCTGCTACCGCACCTCCAGCAGCAGCTGGTGCTCCGCCATCACTGCCATTGAATATGGTAATGATGAGCAGTATTATGCCAATGGGCAGCAGGAGGAAGGATAGCAGGACGCCTACATTGAAGCACTTGACCAGAAAGCTTCTCGTGCAGCTCTTGCCGGCTGCGGAGCCCCAGCGAATCAGCATCCGATTGAAGGTGCTGGCATTGGAGTGCCAGTGAAGGCTCATGAAGTTGATATTCAGTCCTGTGTTGCGCAGAAAGGCGTCGTATGGATAGTGCATGCAGCTCTGCAGGAAGTTTTTAATAATTAAATTCGATGCGACAATTTATTCGTTTGATTCCATCAAGCACACCTTGAAAAAGCGATCGAAAAAGTACATGACGCCATATAAAATCGTCAGCACTGTGAAGAATATTATGGGATCCATTGTGCGCAAGTTTTTTGTGTTGACTTAGTGCTAAACCTCAAGCGACGCACATTGTTATTGTCATTTAATTTTGTTGTTGATTATTTTATGGCCTAACTGAACAATATGCCGAACAGCTGACTGTGCAGCTACCGGGCTGCCAACTCGCTTTACATTTTGCAGAGATCCACAGCGCTTCCCAGGTAACAGTAAGCGGAAGAGGTTATTCAATAGTGAAACTTCTCTTAATACCACTGTTATTATTTGCAAAGAAACCTTATGAAACTTTATTTAATGTCTTTTTGATTTATTATTGTTCGACCGCCATATAATTTTATTTAATACTGTTACCAACAGCTGAACTTGACGGCGGGTGCATGACGACACAATTTCCCCACACTGAACAACCTTTTTTCATAAATACCACTTATACCAGAGCGTTGCCATACTTTAATATGTGCGTGCAAGAAACAAGCGTCTTCCCGTTGACTTAATTCCACAATTAATAAAATTTCGCATATTATCATAAAGTAAATAATGCCGAAAGTGCGTCGTAGTCGTAAACCCCCACCAGATGGCTGGGAACTTATTGAACCCACACTGGAAGAGCTGGAGCAGAAAATGCGCGAGGCTGAAACGGAACCGCACGAGGGCAAACGCATTACGGAATCACTTTGGCCGATCTTCAAGATACATCACCAGAAGACGCGTTATATCTACGATCTCTACTATCGCCGCAAGGCTATCAGTCGTGAACTATACGATTACTGCCTGAAGGAGAAGATCGCCGATGCCAACTTGATAGCCAAGTGGAAGAAGTCGGGCTACGAAAACCTCTGCTGCCTGCGGTGCATTCAGACTCGTGATACGAATTTCGGCACGAACTGCATCTGCCGCGTGCCCAAGTCAAAGCTGGAGGAGGGACGCATAGTGGAATGCGTCCACTGCGGATGCCGCGGCTGTTCCGGCTGAGGCGCCCATTTGAAATTCTCGTAAATATAAAGACTGTAAATACGCGTGTGGTTTAGAGCCTTTCCTAGCTTATCTTCAAAAGTAGACAGAAGCAAAGCTAAATAAGATATAAAGTATATATGTATCTGAATGTATATATGTTTTCCTCATGTCTGGAAACTTTCTGAACAACGCTCGTACAGTTTAAAGTCGGAGTTGATGTGTGTGTATTGAGTAAATGAGGAATTGAGCTGCTTCCTAGACAGCAGGATGGGAATTACAGTTGATTACTTAATGAAAACTACAATAAATTGTAAATAAAATAATTGGGTAGTATAAGAACACAAAACCGCTTGTAAAAATAGAATATCGATATAAATGTAACCTTTTTACTTAAAATAAAATTAAATAAAAATTCATACTATCAATTTTGGTCTTAAGAGATTTTGTAGCTTCTAGGTTCAAATGAAATTACACATAGTTAGAATTTAACAAACTTAAACTGAATATACCAGGGATCGCAAATAAGAGTTATGCATTTAACAAAATTGAGGGTCAAAAAAAAAAAAAAAAAAAAA